AATATCATATATATATCTTGCTTGCATTTGAATACCGAGAGAAAGAGCATAGCCAAAACCAGCTGCCACCTCTAAAATTCTTTCAATGCCCACTCTGTTCGTATTCATCCTCAAACATCCATATGATCCTCATCACTTATAAGATCGTCCACTCCTTAGCCACCTCAACGAAGATCTACAATTTCATAGTAATTACTACAATACATCGATCATCACCCCTCGTTTCGTTGATTCCTCTCTCCTTTCACAATTCTAATCCCCTTTCCATTCGCAGATCAGGTTCTAATGAGCAACGTTAAAGCATTGTCAATTACCATATCATCATCACCATCATCCTGTCACTTCTCTTTTTTAAATCATTTCAGACAAACTCACACACATAACATATATACATAAACTTAAACCTAGACCTCTTAATTGAAAGCCTAAGCTCTCAACTAATAGGCCAAACAGTTTAATCACTTCTCCTTCTTTGCCCTCCACCTCGACAAGAATCTTCTTTCAACTAAAGCTCTCAAGTCTCAACGAATAGGCCAAGCATTTAATCACCTTCCCCTTCTTTGCCCTCCACCTCGACATGGATCTTAGGTACACTCTAGATTGGTCTGGCCTACAAGGAAACTCGCACTCTGGCTCTCTATTCGAAATTTTTAAGAAGAGGCTGCCTGTGTAGTAATTAAATTCTCTACAAACAGGTCAGAATGACCAAGTAATTATAACACAAACATCTTTTACCCGCCCATTACTACCAAACACACTTATGAGTCCGTTGGCAACTCAGAACCAATCACCTCATCACAAAACTTTATTCTAAAATTTCATCAATCAAAATAAAAGACTTCTCATCAATCAAAAGAAGAAACCTTTTTACGCTTAGAACTTTAAACAAGCCTATTTAAACTTCTGTTGGAAAACATAATTAAAACAAATTAGCAACGACTACAAAAATTCCACAACATATCACAATCTTGAAACCACTTGAATGAAAATCCATTGCTACATATATGACCATTTAAATGAATAAGTTAAATTTAACCTTACAAGGCAGCAATTACAAGCCTCGGTACTATAATGTTTTTTTTTTTGTGGAAGTTTAGGGGCTTGTTTAGGGGCTTCGAACGTGAGTCTCGCGGGAAGAATTTCTTCGCGTCAACCAACGGGGCTGCACGAGCGAGCTCGTCTATAACGTTATACATAAAACAACTTATAATATGGTATTCTACGTTCCACACAAAACTGTAATTCGATAGAACGGATCTTTGGCGGATTCGAACCACCATCCTCTCAGATTACTCACTTGGCTTCACCAAAGAATAATACCTGAGCACTCAACCGTTTTGAGCTTAAAGATCTTCACTATACCACTTCGAACTGCTTAATATACTCCCGCTTCATAATTTTATTTGCATGAATGATGTACGTTTCTAATTAAAAAAAAATTCATTTTTAACAAGTATTCCAAACAGTGCGTTGACATAGAACTAAAATAATTTGTTAAACTTTAAAAAAGGCTTCAAATCTTTGGTGTTCGTTACAAATTTACCAATATATCAAATCTGTGTTCGATAATATATCAAATCTGTGTTGCAAAAAATTATGTACCATCAATTTTTTCAGAAACTGAAAATCATAGTATATTGAATAAAATGCAGCGTATTGAATTATCGAAAAATTAAAGGGCTTACAAATATAATCCCAATTAAACACTACCACTAACATAAGTTTCAACTTATTTGTAGATTCAAACACAAAGGAAAGAAGCAAAAATTCAACCAATATATACAAAAAAGACGAACCTCAACAACATTGATATATAACATGCACGTAGAAAGACAGAAGAAAACAGATCAAGCAAAAATCCTTGATACATTCAACTGAAACGTAGGTCCTCAGTAAATCAGAAGATGTTCCTCCAATGACTATACAACAGCATCTGCAGATCCAAACCGCTAACTTCAACTGTTACATTAAAAGTTGATTCGTAAATCCAATGAATACATCAGGAACTCAAAAACCACTTGAGCATCATCTCGAGCAACAACCTCTATTCTTCAATGAATCCCCCGCCCTTCTTTCGGTTGCAGAATCGTACATGTAGGATCTACAGTTATTCTAAAGAAGATGCTCAAGTTGTTTTTGAGTAGGCCGTGCACGTGTAGGCCGGCTTAAAATCATAACAATTTCTATTACAGATAAAATTAAAATGTTGGAAGACGGACAATCATTTAGTAGAAAATAGAAAAACAAATTAAAACAAATTTTCCCGCAAAATAACAGAACCGCGAAGACTACAGAATATCTAACCGATTTCAAACGTAAAAGAATAGATTTTAATAGCGTTTTTCCATGTACCTTTATTTTGACATACTACCATGAATTTGTTCGATTATACGACCCTTCCGACAGGAGTAACAAACGTACGGTAAAATGTACCTCACACCGGCGTAATGAGCAGGAAAGCTGGTCGACGTACAGACTCACGAGCTTGCACATGACATTTGAGGCGTACGGCGAAGCACAAGACAAGGAAGCCAAATTAAGGGAAGAACCCAGGGTCGAGAACCACCCCATACGATCTTCCCGCAACAACAAAACAAGAATTTTATTACGATATTTGGCCTGCCATGCGAGCTCACCCAACAAGGCATAGGCCGAAAAAACAAAACAACCGACAAAAAATTAACAATTCTTACCTTCAATACTTGACAGCACATCCCTCCACTGAAGATCTTCAAATATGCCCTACGTTTACATTTCTACTACGTAAGAGTTATGATTAGCCAGCGCGACTATAAATGTTGGCTAATAGAAATGAAAAGGATAGACAACAGAATCAGAATTATCTTTACGCCACTGAATCCCTCAGTTTTCTGCAGATTTCATTGTGAAATTGGCCACGGTCCTTCAAAAATTAATCAACTGCAGGAAGGAAATTAAGGAGCAGCACACCAAGAATTGGAGGAGAAGTGCTAAAATATGGAGACCGCAAGATCAAATATATCAGAGATAGTGATTATGGACAGCAGCGACAAAACTGGCTAACCGCTAATGAATTGGCCTGACTCCCCACAAAGAGACCGCTAAATAGATGTTGCTGATGTCGAATCCCACAAAACAACACCATCCTCAACTGCAGATTAAAAATTAAGGAAAAAACAAGATTGCGATATTTATGATAAAATATCTCACATGCATAGCACATCAGGCAAATAGAACAAATCCGTCAAAAATGCTGAAGATATAGCCGAAAGAAAGCAGATCTGTTGGATTCCAATGGATCGGCTTCTTTCACCAGAAAATGGACACAAATTCGAGGACTCTGATATCCTATCCCACCGTAAAAAGTATTTACCGCAACTGCAGAAAAAAAATTAAGAAAACATACCGAATTGACTATAGTTATTATTATAACTATCAAACAAAAACAAATATAGCTATTAATGAGTAAACAAAAAACAAATCCATCAAGAGGTTAAGGATGTTGCCGAAAGAGATCAGATCTAGTTGAATTTCGATGGATCAGCCTCCTTCTCCCTAATATGGACACAGAATCAAGGTTATCGCCACCCTATCCCACGGTAAAATAGTTACTGCATAAAGAAATTAAGGAAAAATAAAGAAATCTAAAGATAATCCTTATAAAACCAAGAAATTGCGCAAACAAAACGGTTTTTGAATAAAGATAAAGGGAAACTTCCAAACAGATCATCTCAGAGGCCACATGCATCTCCGAAGTAAAAGATTTGGCCGTGCTCCAATAGAACGGCAACGCCTCCCGTAGCATAGAAAAAGAATTGAGGACGCTTACACCCTATCCCACCTCAAAATTTATCGATCGCAACTGAAAGCAGAAAAATAAGAAAAAACATAAAAAGAACGAAGCCATCCCTAAAAAATTAAACTATTTCTTATGTAGAAGAACAGATCCTGCAAAACGTTCAAAACATATAACAGACGCTCCGCCAGAGATTGAATCTATCGCTCACGGAGATGAATCTTCAAATATTTGGTTGTTCAACAATATCCTGCCAACCTAACTGGAACCTCATATGACTCAAAAAATAAGATCAAACTAAGCATCTAGACCTAATTCTAAATTACTATGCGAAACCCTAGACATGAAAAGAACGAAGGCGGAGATGGGTATTTATTGATAACTAGGTGCAAGATCAGCCGTTTCCTTAGGCGGTGGAGTTTTGACGGATAGGATGCTACGATCGGAATGTTCTGGGAAGTTGTCGACAGCTCATTAATCACTCCAATTTACATCATTGCATGCGTCAGCAGATTGATTGCTGTAACTTCCTTCCCTGAATTTTAGGTACGTCTTTGATCATTGCCGTTTATTTGTAGTTAGTTTTTTCTTAAGATCAATACAATTCATTGCTACAAATAAAAATGAAATCATATCATTTTTCTGGCGACAGCTTAAATTATTATTTTTAAAATATTTTTTTAATTTTTTACTTTATACTCGATACATCATTAAAAAAAAATATCTTCATCGGGCACGAATCGTGAGGCAAAATTAAGATGAAATCTTTCAAAATTAAAATTGGGGTCATCTGAGCTCTGATTTCAACAAACTTTTAATCGAACTGAACGTCTCGAAAATACGAACCCAACGTTCAACTCAATCAGAACCCAAATGAATCAAAATCATGGACCTGAAGCGCTGATGGAAGGTTTGAACCACAATTTGGATTTCTTTTTTCTGTCACAAAAGGTTTCCAAATGTGATATGCTTATTGATACGGCATAACAAAATTAGTTTGATCGGGCATGAATCTCGAGGCAAAAGTTAGTTGGAAACTTCAAAAATTAATTACGGTCTCCGATTTTAACGAGCTTATGCTCGAATCGAGCGGCTCGACGAGATGAATCTAACGAACATAAGATTGCCTTATTCCGATATCATTAAGGCCTCCAAATGTCCAATGAACGGTGCACGATCGAAGGGTTCAATATCGACCGTCCATTCAAACCACTCCCTATTCGCCCATGATCTCACACCTATTTACGAGCTATGCCACTCCAAAAAAACTATAAATAGAGCCCTCATTCTACACAAAGGGGACTCAAGTGAAGAGAGAGAAGAAGAAGAGAAGATGGAGGAGAAGTGCGATGCCCCAAAATCAAATAGTGAAAGGATTCGTCTGACATTCTGATCGAACTCCATTCCAGTTGTCTTGCTCGGACCTGAAAATTTAAACCACATATAATGAGCTTACAAAGCCCAGCAGGTCACCAAAGCCTACAACTGAAATCAAAGCACGGCGATGCTATCAATATGCAGGTCAAAGTCAATAAGTCAATCAATGGTCAATAAGTCTATGCAA